CCGTGGGGAAGCCCAGTACGGCAGGCCAGGAGGGGGGGGGGGCGCTCCTGCTCCTGTTGCCAGAGTGGGTGGGGCTACTGCCGTCCTGCACCAGAACCCCCAAGTAATCCCCCAACAGTTGGGGCCCCCTCCTGGAACTGCCCCATGGAGCTGTGCTCTTCCCCCATAGTATGAATGGGGAAACTGAGGCACGGATCAGCATCTGAGGCCTCTTCACCCCCCAACACCGGCAGCCTCCTTCTTATAAAGCCTCACAAGCATTGGAGTGTAGCTGCTCGGGAGAGGGACGGTCACAACAAGACCTAAATGTGTGGGGCAGATCTCCCCCCTCCTGGAACTGCCCCATGGAGCTGTGCTCTTCCCCCATAGTATGAATGGGGAAACTGAGGCACGGATCAGCATCTGAGGCCTCTTCACCCCCCAACACCGGCAGCCTCCTTCTTATAAAGCCTCACAAGCATTGGAGTGTAGCTGCTCGGGAGAGGGACGGTCACAACAAGACCTAAATGTGTGGGGCAGATCTCCAGCCTCCCCCCTCAGTGTAACCCCCTGCTGGGTTCCCACCCCTCCCTTGGGTGCAGGTGGCTCACGGTTTGGCCCGTGATTCCCATGGGGAGTCACCAGAGACTGGCTGGGTGCAGGCACCGGGGCGAATAACGGTTTGGCTAAAACCCACCACGCCCAGGACAGGAGAATTCTGGCTGGTCTGTGGCTGCCGGAAAGGCCGAAATCGAAGGGTTTCTGGTTTGGGGCGTTCCAGCAGGGAAACAGGAAGCTTCCCCTCGCCCCTGCAGGTTTGAATTTACCAAAGAAATTCAGACAGTTTGCTGGGCTGGAATTGCACCCGCGGCCGGCAGGAAATCGGCCCTGTGGCCGGCCGGCGCAGCGAGGATGCACACGCGGCAGCTGCCAGTCCGGTTCTAACGCTCTCCCCAGCGATCCCGCCGGCTTAGCAAGAAGTTGCCCCTTCCCACTCCCTTTGCCTGGTGACGCTGATCGTTTTCCAAGGGGGAAATCAGCCAAGGCCACGGAGGTGCTCTTTGGCCGCTGCTGTCCTCAGCTGTCGCCGTCATGGGTGTGTAATGACTTAGGAATGAAAACAGCCAGGGAACACGCCAGGGGCCTGTCCCGTGCCAAAAACACCTCGACTTGGCCGAGACGATTTGTTCTGGCCGCCAACGCCCACGCTGGTTTTTACGCCGCTCCTGAATTTTTCTCCGCGTTTCGCGGGTGTTTGAAATGACGTTTGTGTGTGGGGGGGTGTTCAGACAATAACTGTTTTGTGTCAAATTGCTGCTGCGATTCAAAACCTTCAGCCCGTTAGAACCGTTGAAAACGCGCCTCTCAACACCCCTGGGCCAGCAAGCCCGAGTTAATAGCCTTAAATCAAACCCTAAGAGATTTGGTGTTTTCTGTTGTATGTGGAGAAATTGACACTTGCGATCAAAGATTGGGTCCTGCCACGCCCCTTTACCAATCTTCCTTCTAATTGTTTCCATCCCTGTGTGGAATAAGTTTTGTCCCGTGCGCCAAAGGAGGTGCACCACCAATAGCAACATAGGCTGCCTCCTAATCAGCGGAGTGGTGCTGGAATCTCTGCTAGGCGGCCACGCACATGCCTGGCTTGCAGGGAATCCTGCCCCTTATCCGCCTGAGCGATTCCTTGTTTTATCAATGTCATCAGCGAGAGAGAAGATCGGAGATAAATCTTTAGGGCCGAGGACAGGGATGAGATCAGGGCTGCCCTACCAGGCCCTCAGGCACACAGAGCAGCCCCCTTCCCCCCCATTTTAAGCAGCTGGCTGCTCCCTGTGTCTCTCCTTTGTGCATCTGCTTGGGGGGGGGGTTGTGGGGGGAAATGTGCAGCTGCCCCTCCCCCCAG